CCACTGGGGCCTTCAGTGGAGCTCCGTATGGAGCCACGAAGCGCTGTACTGGGTGTGGTGGACGGACGCATGCGGGCACCCCCACTGGGGCCTTCGGTGGAGCCTCGTATGGGGCCACGGAACGCTGTAATGGGTGTGGCGAACGCATGCGGGCACCCCCACAGGGGCCTTCGGTGGAGCTCCGTATGGGGCCACGAAACGTGTGAGGGGTGTGCTGAAACGGGTGAGGATGATGATGCTGATGATGATGATGATGATGATGCTGATGATGCTGAAGCTGATGCTGATGATGCTGATGATGCTGATGATGCTGATGATGCTGATGATGAAGATGATGGTGATGATGATGATGATGCTGATGATGCTGATGATGATGATGATGATGGTGATGATGATGATGATGATGATGGAACGAGGAGGGAGGGGACAGCGGAAGGAAGAGGAGGAGGAGTGAAGGTGGGGACCGTCTCTCCAAAACGAGGACCCAGCAACACAGGATGGTTGGGAAAAGTATGCGCCACACCACCACGACGTTGTCCCCGACCCTCAAGAAATCCTGGGATACACATTGTAATCTATATATATATATATACATACATACATACATACATATATATATATATATGTATGTATTTCAGTTTCCGAGCAAAGGCTGGGGAAGGAAGGGTCCATGGCCCCTGCCCGCCCCCCCCCTCCCCCCCCAGAGGGCCCCCCACCCTCTCAGCGCCCGCCCGAGCGCGGTGGCGGAATCGCGCGGCAGCGCAACTGGAGCGCTCAGGTGGAGCACCTCTTGAGGCATGGCTATGGATACCACAGCTCATTGCACCGGCCTGGGCAGACGTGCTGCAGCGGATTTCTGCGTGGATTTTTGCCCGAAGCGGCGAGCGAAAAACATAGTGAATTTCGCGTTGAATTTTTTTGGCCTTCAATCCTGGCCCCACAAAATCCGCACGAAATGCACCTCGGACTCCGTGACGAAATTCTCCAGGACACTCTGAGCCCATCCTTTCGTTTTCCGAACGAGGTCCGCTCTGCGATGTTGGCGCCATGACAGCTGCCCTCAGCAGAGAAGGGATGAAGCATCATCCACGGCCGCAGGCCTCCTGGGCACACTCCGTAACGAAAGCCGCCGCCGCACGCGGCGCAGGCTACGTGGTGCCCATGTAGTGTGAGCTCTGCGCGCAGGATGGCGTGCGTGGAGCTTCATGTGGGCTCCCTTTACGCTCTGAGTGGCGCCTCTTAGAGACCTCTTGTGGCCCTTTTGGGGTCGCTCGTAGGGCCTCCTGTGGACCCTCCTGAACCGCTTCCTGCGGCCTTCCCACGGCGCCTCTAGGGGCCTTCGTCTCTTGAGGCACCTCTTGGGGCTCTGTTTGATCCCCTCGGTGGCAACTCTTGGGAGCTTCCTATACCACCTTGTCGGCTCTTGTGAATCGACGCTCGTCGACGCTAAATCGACGCTGATCGACGCTAACTCGACCCTCATCAACGCTAGCCGACGCTAACGCGGCGCTATCCCATCGACTCCCAGATGCTGATCGACGCCAGTCGACGCTAAAGACGGAGTCAACAGGACACACCAGGCTCGCACGATTTGCTGCCGAGGATCCCTCGCTGGGACCCGTCTGGGCCATCTTGGGGACTTTTTTGGGGGCGCCCGCACTCCTGCGCCGCCCCCCCCCCCCTCGACGCAGCCCCCCAAAGGTCGCGCAGAGGAGTGCTATGGCCGAGGGGTGCTCTCTTCCGCCGAATCTCTGCGGCTCCACTGACGACTGGCGTCCGCTGTTGGGCTGCCACCGGACCGCCTGTTGGGGCAGCAGCTGTCCTCCAGAAACAATGTGTCAACTAACCTTCGTCCGGCGTGGTAAGACGAAGCTAGGACGAGGATAACATCGAGTGAGGATGAATCGAGAATCTCTGAGATCCAGCGAATCTGAATAATGTCTCAGGCGCCGCGGCCTCCTGAGAGCGTGGAATTTGTCCTCGTCCAAGCCCCCTGCGGCCAACCTTCGGCCAACTTGGTGTTTTTAATGTGAGCGTTCTTTTTATTCGACGTTTCGACATTGGGCGGAAGGGGGAGGAGGAGGGGGGGTCTGGCTCTGGACCTCTGCTTAGTGCGACTGTTTGTAGCAGTGCGTCCAATGGGGGAGGGACCCCGCCTGCTCGAAACAGGCGCCAAAAACAGCCAAGATATACTTCATGGGGGGGGGGAGGGGGGGGGGGGAGGGGGGCCCGCACCGATCGGCAAAATAAGTAACACAAAAAGCGAATCTGGTCGGTGGGTGCTTCCCGACGAAAAATTACATAAACATAAGAACTCGGAGGTCCGCGCGGATCTCTCGGATCGGCGCTGGACCCCTCTCCCTGGCGCGCGGACCTCCGAGTTGTTATGTTTATGTCATTATTCGCCCCCCTATTCCAACTGCCCCCCTCCACCTCTTTCCATCGGGAGCGGCCTAGAGGGGGGTGTCGAAGAGGGGGGGGTGCAAATCATGACTGGCGGCATGTGCGCGGCCCAACGGGGGGGCCAGGCACGTCACGGAATAAGCAGAGGCGCCACGAGATCTGGGGAAATATCATGGCCCCCGCCATGATATCCCCCCCCCCTAGTCCACGCCCCCCGCTTTGCCCCCGCCCCCCCCCCCCCTTCCTTCCAACCTGGCTGGTCGGGCGGGCTGGCTAGTCTTCACCCCCCGCTTTCCCCCCCCCCCCCCCTTCCTTCCAACCTGGCTGGTCGGGCGGGCTGGCCTTCAAGACTTCTCACCCCCCGCTTGGCCCCCCCCCCCTTCCTTCCGACCTGGCTGGTCGGGCGGGCTTTGCCCCCCCCTTCCTCCCAGCCTGGCCGGTCGGGCGGGCCGGCCCTCGAGAAGGGCGGGCCGGGCGGGCGGGCCCGACTCGGCCGGCGGAGCGCGGGCAGGCGGGGCGCCCACGCCGGGCAGGCGGCGGGGAGGTCCCGGGCGAGAGGGGCGACTGGGCGGCAGGTTTTGCCCCGGGAGTCCCAGGCGAAAGCGGGAGCCCTCGGATCTGAAGCGGGGGCGACTCCTTCACCGGATCCTGGCGTCGTTTTGCGCGGAAGCGCGGGCATGACTGGTGTGTTCGGTATGGCTCCCACGTGTGCGTGCGCAGCTGGGCTGTGCGACGCTTGTTGTTGGCTTTGGGTGCTTGCAACATGATGCTGTGACAAATGTATGTTGCAAGGTCGGGGGGAACGATGCCGGATGAGCTGAGATGGTATGATTCCACATGGAAAGTGAAAGATGAGGCATAATCACATGGCAATGTTCCATAGAGGAAATGTAAGTCCAGCCTCGCTAGGGTGGTGGAGACTCTTACTCTCTTGACAGGTTAACAAACGTCGTGCGAGCTACTTTTTTACCCTGGGGTCGCCAACTCCCAACAAACGCTCACCGACCCGCAACTTCTTGGCAAAACCTGGCTGGCGCCGATGATGCGACATGGTCGCCTACCAGCCATCTGGCGGGTGGGGTGCGAAGACGACCGCCACGACCGCCACCATAGCGCTCCTGTCTGTCGTGTCTACAAGCAGAAGAACAAAAAAAAACAACAAAAACAAAAAAACACGCCATAAACACAACGTTTTGGCGCTCCGCGCGGATTTCTTGGATCTGCGCTGGACCACCCTCCCTGGCGCGCGGAGCGCGCCAGGGGCTGCGCCGGAGGCACCGCTGGGGGGACCCAGCGCGGATCCAAGAAATCCGCTCGGAGCGCCAAAAAGTTTATGGTCATGCCGGTTTTCTCTTTCGAGTGTCATCGGAGGCTGGATGCCAAGCAATCCAGGCACACTGTGCTGCCATGCCGTGAGCGGCGGATGGAGGGTGAGGCCGAGCAGAGGCCGGCCAAGGCGGAGCACCCGCCCCCGCGTGGCGAAGAAGGGGGCGCCGCGAGAAGCGAAGAGACCACAAGAACACAGGGCGCCGACGTGACAGATCGGGGTCGTGTGTACCCTCCACTCTTCTTTTTCTCCCCCTCTGACCGCCCCCCTGCATAACACCCATGGGTTAAGGAAGGGGTGCGAGAGGAAGTGGATATGTGCGGAGAGGGGAGAAAAGGATAGGAAGCTGAGCATGTGGTGCAGACGTGGACCATGTCTATCGCTTCAGGGGGGGGCTTCAGTGGACTTCGGACTGCCTGGTGGCAGCGAGCCCAGAAGGGGCAGCATCCCTGTCTCGCCATTGAAGCCCTTGGGCGCATAACAGCCCCTCTCTCATGTTTGTATTGCAGGGGGGTGTTGTAGAAAGCCTCAGCGTTCGTAGCCAATCGGGTAAGCTGCCCAAAGTATGGCTACTCCACCCCATTGCCCTTTAAGGCCTTCGTCGGAGCAGGGCGAGTTGAGACAACGGCGACGCAAAAGCGGTCCCAGCACCCTTCCCGGGGTCCTGACGCACTGGGCTCCTCAGGTGCGCCCAGCCGTGGCGGCGAGGGCGCCCCCCCAGACAGGCCAACGACCGTTGCCTCAGCTCGCCCTGCTCTGACTTCGACAGCTAGACGTGCGCATCGGGCGGCCTCTGTGGCGCGGATTGATGGGCCAACTTTCCACCACCGCTGCCATGGATAGGACAGGGGAGAAGGGAGGATGGGGAGGTCCTCCTCCTCCTCCTCCTCCTCCTCCTCCTCCTCCTCCTCCTCCTCCTCCTCCTCCTCCCCCTCCTCCTCCTCCTCCTCCTCCTCCTCCTCCTCCTCCTCCTCCTCCTCCTCCTCCCCCTCCTCCCCCTCCTCCCTCTCCTACCTATGGCAGTGGTGGTGGAGAATCGGCCCGTCACGGCTGTTTCCCTGCAGCCCTCGCGCTGCGCCCGCGCGCTTCGCGCCAGGGGCGGGCGCGCAGAGCCGTGCGCCGCGAGGGCCCGGGGTCGCCTGCCCGCCGCGTGGCTCCCGCGGGCGCTGCCCCCGAGCTCGGGCACCGGGCCTCCCATGCCTCCCACACTCTTCACTGCCGATGCGCCGTCCGGGTGCGGCTCCTCGCGTGCGCGCGCGCGTGCGTGGAGCTAGGCGGGCGACGGCCTCAGGCCCAGGGCCCGCATGGCCGAGGCGATGGTCTCCTCGCACTGGCCCTTACGCTTCTTCCGGGCCGCCTTCAGGACCTGGTCGGCGTCGGCCTGGTCCACCCGCCCGCCAGCCTCGGCGGCCATGGACAGGATCTCCGCCGCCGTGTCCAGCATGTTGAGCTTCACGCACATGCCGAGCATGCCGCCGTGGGCCGAGGCCGTGAGGGGGCCGTGCTCGAGCATCATCAAGTAGACCTCCGTGGCCTGCTTGCCGCGCCTCTCGCGCAGACAGCAGTGCGCCAGCTGCGAGTACAAGCGTGGCTCCGGTGCCACGCGCTGCGCGGCAGGCTCCGTGCGGAGCATGTCCACCGCCTCGTCCAGCAGTTTGCACTGCGCGTACAGCCGGATGAGGATGGAGAAGGTGGCGTTGGAAGGCCGCACGCCAGAGTCAACCATCTCCTTGTACGTGCACTTGGCAAGATATGCGTCCGCCTCCTTGGCGCAACCGCCCAGGATGTTGTTGAAAATGACCTCGTCAGCCTTCAGGCCCAGCCCCAGCATCGCCTCCTTGAGCCTCAGCGCAGCGCCCAAGCGCCCCGAGTCGCAGTTGGCTTTGATCAGGATCGAGAACGTGATGAGGTCCGGGGGGATCGTGCGCTCTGAGCGCATGAGCTCGTAGACCTCCATGGCCTTGTCGACATGGCCATCCCGAGCGAAGCCCTTGATGAGAGTGGTGTAGAGCACCGTGTTCATTACACAGCCGTTGGCCTTCATCTGCTCGAAGACCTCCGCCGCCCTGGCGACCTGGTTCTCGTTGATGCAGCAGTCGAGCAAGATGCCGTAGGTCACCTGCGTGGGCTCCACCCGGCGCTGCGTCATCAGCTCGAAGAGCTCAAAGCACTGCTCGAGGCGGCCCGCCTTGGCGTAGCCCTTGGAGAGCGTGTTGTAGGTGATGGCGTCGGAAACACCACCACACTCCGCCATCTCGTCCAGCAGGGTCCGCGCCTCGTCCACGCGGTCTGCGGCCACGCAGGTGGCCACACAGGTGTTGTAGGACACGCTGTCGATCTCGGTGTCGCTCTGGCGCATCTGCTGCACGAGTTCCAGCGAGAGCTTCCAGTCGCCGGCTGCCGAGGCATAGCGGATCATGTTGCCGTAGTCCTTGCACGAGGGAGCCCCGCACGACTCGAGGCGGCGCCAGAACAGCTTGCAGCGCTCGAGCTCCTTTGTCTCTATAGCGCAGAAAAGGAGGCAGCTCCAGACGCTCCTTGGGGGGGGGGGACATATGAAAACCCACACCGCTACTCCGCGGCGTGCGTTCTGATCAGAATTTCGAACATAATCTAGCCGTGGCGACGAAAGCTCTCCGGGACGAGCAGCGGCATCATCTCTTCCTCACCTGACTCCTGTCGGCGATCTTCAGCTCCTTGTCCTCCGCGGCGAAGTCGAAGATGGCCAGGCACTCGGCGTAGAGCTGCTTGGAGGTGCACAGCTTGGTGGTGGAGCCGAGGAGCGCGGAGGAGATGCCTGGGCCGTGGCGGCGTAGCTCCTGCGGGCGGGGCAGGAGTCCGGGGGCGGCCCAGCAAGGGGCTGCGCGGGGCCAGCAGGGGTCGAGGTGCCCCAGAGGAGGCAACGGCACTGGTGCCGTTACCCTTGCCACACTCTCGCCTTGCTGGGCCTGCTGGGAGGCCCTCGTCGCCACGGGTGGATTTGCCCTGAAATCCCGGTCACCACACGCCCTGAGAGCCAAATCCGTGACTCTAGACCCCCGCCCTGGCGACCCCCACAGCTTCGGCCGCAAGGCCTGCGGGAAAACTCAGCAGCAAGGCGAAAAGGTCACGGCGAGCTCAGCAAGCCACAGAAAAACTGTAGCGCTTGACCGGCGATTCCAAACGCGCAAGTTCGTCCGAGGCAGAGGTTTCCCGCATGAGTGTCGAACCCTGACATGATCCCCTGCGGGGGCCTAGTGCATCCCGCCATACATATATGTATACATATGTATATTAATGTACATGTGTATACCAGTGTCTTTATATGTATCTGTGGAAATGCATATCGGTCTGGTGCTCCGTGCATGTACATATATATATATATATATATATATATATATTACATCAGCATGTAGAGATAAACATGAATGTGCACCGTTCTGCCTAAGCTGTTCCTTATTTCCCAGGCATCCTGGAGCAACACCATTGCCTCGTCCAACTGGCCGGTTCGGATGGTGGCCGTGACCATGCTCAGGAACATGTATTCGCACTCGTCGCGCTCTGCGGAAGCGAGGTCGACGCCAGCGCGGTGGGCGGCGCGGTAGAGCTCCAACGCTGTTCGCGCCTCAGCGCGGCACAGCCGCGTCACCTGAGGCACCAACCAGCGAGGGTCTCGTAGCAGCTTCGGGTCGACACCGCCGACGCCGCCAGGCAGAGTCGCGGCGGCTGCGTCTGAGGCGCGCCCAGAGCGATCTCCAGGCTTGGCCCGTCCGGCGGGCGCTCCAGACGACGGTGGCCTTTTCCTTGTGCTGGCCAGCTGGGTTTTGGCACCCGCCAGCCCGGTCTTGCGGCCGACGGCCCAGAGTGCCCCCAGCACTGCGGCGAAGGTGAGTTCGACCCTCAACGAGTACACACAAGAGCTCACGAGGGAGAGAATCATGTCGGCAGCTGGCTCCATAGCTCACAACCCTCGAACCTACAGAAGGCAGAATCTGAGCAGATCAATCGTGGATGGGTATCGCCGACGGTCGCGAGGGCGAGGGAGACTTGTTCCTGAAATCTGGGTAGACGATCGAGCTCAGTCCGTCTCGAGCCTAAATTGTTATGGATTCGTTGCAAGCGCTTCGGCAAGCTAATGTGCTGCATATTGTTTCGCGCTGCCGTGCTTTGTTCACACAGGGTATGCGGTGCAACGCGAGCCATGCAGCACCTCGGAGTGACTCGGGCATGCGCTTGCTTTCATGCCAGGCGCACGCGGTCGAGCAAGGGCCGGGTGCTGGGCACCTCGCTGCCGTCCTTTTCCCAAGCCCTCTTTCCCTCCATCATGTCGGGCTCGCCATCGCTCGGACGTCCATTTCCGGTGCATTTTTCGGTTTCGTGCCTGTTTTTGTTGCTCGATGGTCCAGGATCGTCCTCAATGGTTCTCGCCGAAAAAATGCACACGTCCGAGCGATGCCAGGCGGGTGCGCCCAAGAGGAGGGCATCCAAGAGGGGGGTCGCAAGCCACGGCCCGAAGCATGTGCGCGACCCGCGGGGGGGGTGGGCGGGAGACGCACTGCAAGAAGAAGGGGGGGCCATGAGGTCGTCCCCCCAGCCATGCCAGCCACCGCCCCCCCTGGCCATCACCCCCCTCCTGGGCCCCCTCCCGTCCTTCGCACGGGGGGGGGCGCGCAGCCAGGCACCTCCTTGATAGGGGTCGGAGCAGGTGGGGTCGGAGGATCGCGCGGCATCGCCGATGCATCACCGATGCATCGGCAGTGCATCGGCGATGCATCGGCGACGTCGGCGGTGCATCGGCGACGTCGGCGTGGGGAAGCACGGGCTCCACATCGAGCCGCATCGTCGATGCATCGGCGGTGCGGCGCGATCCTCCGACCCCATCTGGGAGGCCCAGATGAGTATCGTTTAACCGATCCCCATCCCCACCAGCGTGGGCTGGGCCCCACTGGCCGATTAACCCTTAGATGGGGATATAAGCCGTATACTTCGGATTTCGAAGGGTGTATCCCCAACTGGGGGTGTAATTTGGTGGGGGTCTCGAAGGGGATGAGCATGGGGATGGGGATCGGTTAAACGATACTGACTAGAGTGGGAGAGAGGGGGAACCCACCGCGGCGGGACGGCAGTCGGCCCGTGTATCATAAGGACGCACGGTAGGGATGCAAGGGCCTCGGAAGACCATCTCGGAGCTTCTCGAGCGGGGCGCGGAAAACGTAAGTGGCCAAGGATGGACCGAGGAGGCGCAAGGATGCACGGGTACCCTCGGGAAGGGTGTCCATCCTTACCATGCGGGTTGACTGCATGAAACTTCCTACCTTGCTGTCTCCACCACCATTCGGCGACTCCGAATGTCGTGGTTTGCAAAGGGTGCGGCTTGCACCCCCCCCCCTGGCCCTAGGGGGCGGTGCGGGCGAGGACCTCGGCAGAGCTCTCCGCCGTGTCCCGAGGAGGCCCGACGAGGGCAGCGTGGTGCCCCCCAAGACCCAACGACGCAGATCGCAAACCAACCGCACCCTGGCGTAACCGCACCCTTTGTGGTTGGAGGCGGCCGGGGGGACTCGCTGGCTGAGCTGGTGTGGACTCGGGGGCTGAGCTTGCTCGAGCCTGGAGCCTGAGCCTTTCACTCGCGGGAGCCCTGCTGCCTCCATCATCTTCATGCCGCCAGCCCCCGCCCCCCCAAAACCCCCCGAGGCCACAATCTCGCCGCCGCAGCGCGAGGCTACTCGGCACGAGTGCGGAGGCCGGGGAGGAGGCGGAAGCGACGGTGCCCGGGGCCCGAGCCCAGGTCCCCGCGGAGTGAGATTGCCCCTCCAGCGCGTCTCGTGCACCCTGGCGCTTGCGGGGTCCAAGAAAAAAAGGCTTCGTTCCTCATGCCGTTAGCGTCCGTGGTGGTCGTCGCTCGACTGCATGCTGCCCGGGGTCCTGGCCCAGCTCCCCGCGGAGCGAGGTTGCCCCTCCAGCGCGTCTCGTGCGCCTCGGCGCGCTTGCGGGGTAACAGAAAAAACAGCGTGTCGTTCCTTATGGTTTGTTAGCGCTCGCTGTGGTCGTCGCTTGACCGCATGCTCCGCACAGCCCTCGACGCGTCGGCGCACACAGAGCCAGCTCAAAGCCTCGGAATGTGATTACCGACTCGAAGAAGAACAACATCCATAATGATAATAGGAAGTACTAACAATACTAATAATAACCACAATCATGTTAGCACGAATAAGCAATAATAATGATACTACGAATAACAATACTAATCATACGATTCACTACACTAACATAAACTTTCGAAGGTCCGCGCGGACCTTCGAATGTCTCTCCTCCGATGTCTCTTATTCTACCCTCCCCCCTCGTCGTCGCCTTCCTCCTCCGTCATGCCATCTAGTCGAGGATCCCAAGTCACTCTATCTCCGGATGCATTCGTAGATGAGCGCGCTCTGGCTACGCGTGCGGGTGGCACTCAGGAGAGGCTCGAGGAGGAAGAGGAGGAGCAGCTGCGAGTACTGCAGGGCATCGCCCGTGTTGGCAGATCAGGGCATGCAACTGAACATCCCCGCTAACTCCCATGCATCCGCGAAGCTGAGCTGGGTTTTGACATTGTGCGCTCCGTGGTGTGCGGCAAGCGTCGTCCAAGAGAGGGTTTCGGCAGTCCTTCCTACTCTTCCACGTGGGGCAGCCCCTCTCCCACGCCACATGCCATCACCTCCGAACGCGAGGACGAAGAACGGGTGACGTCCGCCTACAATGTCGTTCGGGTTTTCTTGCAAGCGCGGGCGCCAAATTCGCTCAAGAAGCTGAGCCAGCAGAGCTGTTTGCCAGGACTGCTCACGGCAGGACACACTACGTAATCGAGTGGCCCCGCCTGCTTCAACCACGAACGCAGATTTGTGCTGCATCGCGTGCAGGGTAGGACGCCTAGCTGATGGTCTCTAGCCCTAAGCTAGAAGCAGAACAACGGCATAAGCATAACCTTTCGGAGGTCCGCGCGGATTTCTTGGATCGGCGCTGACACCCCTCCCTGGCGCGCGGAGCTTGTTTGGGGCGGCGCGGGAGGCGCCGCCAGGGGGTACCCAGCGCCGATCCAAGAAGTCCGCGCGGAGTTACCAAAGGTTATGCTCATGCAACTGTGACTTCTCCGAGAAGTATGCGCCTCCACCTTGGGAGTGCCACTTGTAGAAACCGGCGCAGCCGTCTCCGCGCCGGGCGCCAGGGTGGGAGGTGTGGCGCCCTTGCTTCTGGGGGCGCACCCCCCTCCTTCTCCTCCTCCTCGCCGTCGGTCCCAGTGCTTCTGGTCCTCCTTGTCCTTCTCGTTATCCACCTCTTGTCGCCGGCCCCTTCGCCCTCCTTCCTGGTCGTCGGCCTGTCCCTGCTCCTGCTCCTGCGCCGCCACCCCCTCGTGCCACTGCTGCTCGTCCTCCTTGTCCTCCTCGTAGGCATCGCTCCCCTCCTTCGCTGCCTTCAGGACGTCCCGAACACCTGCGGAAACCTCCCCGCCCCACTTCCGCCGCCCCCCTCCCAAAACACATACACTAACACACACGCACATCCACACACACATGTGCGCTTACACATCATACACACACGAACACACACACACACACGCACACACACACACACGCACACACATGCCCGCACGCACATGCACACACACACACGCACACACATTCATTCACACACATTCACACAGACACACATTCACACACACGCACACATTAGCACACAAACACACACACACACGCACACATACACACACGCACACACGCACACACAAACATACATACACCTCTACAGATTCACACACACGCACAAACGCTTACACACACTCACACAAGCACACTCACACATGCACACACACACACACCCGCGCGCGGACGCATACACACCGACACACACACACACACATGCGCACTCACACGCATGCATACAGACGTGCGCACACACACACACACACACAAACACACACACACACACACACGCACACACACCCTCCTGGAACCATCCGCAACACGTGACCCACAAATTGAACGACTGGAACCATCCTCGGCCCCTGCTGCCGCTCCAGCGGGCAATCGGCGAGAGCACCCCTCTTTTCATTGGCGGTGGCCCTCTTCTTCTCCTTCTCCTCCTCCTCCTCCTTCTCCTCCTCCTCCCCTTCCTGAAGCGTCTAATCCCTGACAGGGCGGCGTGGATGCCTCGCCTGCAATGTAGACGGCCCACAGAAGGGTAAAAAGACAAAAGCTGCGCGGGAGGCTTCGAGGGAAGATCGCCGAGCAGTCCTTCCCGTGCTCCTAAACCTCCTGTTCCTCCTCCTCCTCGTCTTCCTCCTCCTCCTCCTCCTCCTCCTCCTCCTCCTCCCCCGTCGAGAACGGTGGATTGTGGAGTCGCAGGGGTTCAAAAGCGCGCGCGAGGGTTTCGCGCTGAGTTCGCGACTGTTTCTGTGCAAACTCTGCTCTGTGTCGTCCTCCTCCTCCTCCTCCTCCGCCTCCTCCTCCTCCTCCTCCTCCTCCTCCCTCTCCCCCTCCTGCTACCTCTCTGCCTTTTTTTTTCTCCAGGCGCCCCCCCCCAGAAAAAAACAACCCCCCCCAAAAAAAAAATTCACGATTTGTTTTGTTTTTTTTCTTTTTTCTGGGGGGGGGGGGGCGCGCCAGGAGAAAAAAAAGGAATGCGACGTGACCACATCTGCTCTCCCCCTAGAAGGATTCCTATTGGACGCCCCCATAAGAAGGATTCACAGTAAAATCCTCGACAGAAGGGTTCCTATCGAAACCCTCCACTGAATGATTCCTACCGAAATCCTCCACATGTGGATTCCTACTGAAACCCTCCACTGAATGATTCCGACTGAAATCCTCGAATGGCAATGGCAATGGCAATGGCAATGGTAATGGTAATGGTAATGGTACTGGTAATGGTACTGGTAATGGACTGGTAATGGTTACGGTAATGATAGTGGTAACGGGGTAGCGAGGCAATGACAATGGCAATGGCAACGGTAATGGTAATGTTAATGGCAATGGCAATGGCAATGGGAATGGGAATGGCAATGACAATGACAATGGCAATGGCAATGGTAATGGCCATGGCAATGGTAATGGTCATGGTAAGGGT